ACAACGTTGTTCACGGATCAACAGTTTGTCGCAGTCTTTTGGGAGATCATTGCATTCTTCTATGTTGTTAAGTTTTGGCCTCCTTTTTTAGCTCATTCATGCTGAAAGCAATGAATGAGGTATCGTGGTGTAGCAGTTGTTGATGGAAGTTGTCGACTGTGGACGGAAGTTGCGTCTTGGACTGTAAACGGAAGTAGTCTTGCATGCTACCCCTCCCCACTTGGTGAAAGTTAAAATTAATTTCAATGAAGCTCAGAAGCTCATGTGGAAAGAAATAAAATGTTTGTATGGTTTGAAAACAATAATAATCTCAAATCACATTTCTGAACTTCTAAAAATGCAACTTGAATCGAAAAGCCGCAATCCAAAGTGCTTCAATATACAAAATACTGATGGTCAAAATTTCTTAACTTGATTTTCCTAGTATCAAGTCTGGAATGTCATGCTTGTACAAGTTCAACCTCGTGGGACGATTGCAAAGTTTCACAGGAAAAGTGTCTTCCCCAACAAAACCAATGCATCAAGGTCTACTTTAAGTATGGCGGAAGTGAAATATTCTCCAAGGGCTGTGCTCGTGAGCTCTCTTGTGGAAGCTCAGAAAATTCTACCTGTGGAGAAACCGCTGTCTCTGATTTCACTTGTGATATCACCTGTTGCAATGACAAAGACAACTGTAACGCAGGCTCAGCCCTATCTTTCAGCAGTTTCTTATTCTTGGCATGCGCATCGGCGTCATTGATGTTTTTCGTGGAATTTTGACATTACAGCTCAGTTGCATGTTCACGTTTTGGGAATATTTGTTTTCAAATGATGGAGTTGAGTAAATTTAAAAAAGAAAAAGAAAAAAACGATTTGTGTTGTATAACCATATCAAACTCTTTCCCCAGTGCGACGAACATTTGTTTTTCTCGGTTCCAGGTGTACGCAACCACTAACCCCACGTAATGCGCATGCTCTCCGTTACGAATTTTCAAAATGGCGGACAAGCCAAAGAAAGAAAAAAACAAAGCGATTTTGCAATGAATACTCAACATAAACCCTCGTTAGAAAGGCGAATCCACGGAGGAAAGATACAAAACTGTATGATACTGAGATCGATATGATATTAAATCGATACCGAAAGCCCGTTTCCAACTTGCTAAGAAGCGCATTTAATTGCCTTCCGCCACGATCACTAGCTTTCTTGACAGCCTTCTGAAGACAGAATACTTTCTTTCTGAAGACTTCTAATGTGCGGCTATTGATTATTACACCTCGTATACCTGATTGCTCAAACACTTTGTTTACGATTGTTGAAAGGACCGACTCATGGTTCTCCGTCTTCGTCTTTACATTGCTTTGAAACAGTATAGATTAGTAAGCTGAAACGAAAAACTAATCAGGGATGTTTACGAAAAATCCAGCAAACAAGCTTAAAAAGGCATTTATTTAGACTTCGTACTTCAACGAACTTCACAAATCTTACTTGTTTATCTTGTAAGTAAACGATGGCAGACTAATTCCCGAAGCGCTTTCTGAGTTTCCCGATCCCTCTCCTACTGCTTTCACGCTTACAAAACAGGAAAAAATCAAAAGGAGGAAGATACAGCTGTTTTGAAACGCCATTTGACGAGGGTAAATCTGCTTTTTGTTCGACACTACATATCAAAACAAAGGAAATTTGTTCCTTTTTTTGATTCTGGCGGTACATTTTTAATTTGCGCCTGCGTAAAAGAGATATCGCCCGAGACCCTTCGCTCGGTCGTGTTTTGATCAAAAACGCCTTGTTAATTTCACGCAACCGCTCGGAGAAAAGGTAAAAATGACGAGGGAAAAACTTTACCTTCAAGTTAGAAAATTAGCGAAATAGAAAGCCACAATATTATAGTTTAATATTTCAGAGGTACATTGAGTGCTTTTTCCGTAGAGAATCCGCACAATGGTAAAACATTCGAAAATTACACTCAATTTCAGTGGGGTGTTGAAGTGGGCGTGGTCACTACTTTCCTTTTAAGACTATTTGTACCCCATGAGTTTGATATGATTACTTACGATTGATAACGTATGATTTTTAGAGGCTCAGAAAACCTCAGGCTTGTTTGTTATCATGTATGGACATCTCAGAAAAATATCAATTTATGCTACCAGCACTCCAAACGCTGGGTTGTTTATTTTACAAATTCTCTTTTAGTCTCAATATGAGAAGGGAATAGTATTCACTTCTCAATCAACAGACTGATTAAACAGGATTTTTGTTCAAAAAACGGTGTTGGAGTGAGAGGGTGATTTGGTAAAAACATATAAGATAAAATTCCTAGTTATGTTCAAGTATGACCTTCTAGTCTTCATTTATGCCGGAGCTTAGTTGATTTACCATTCAGCAGAATGGCCATCTTTCCGGAAGCTGCAAGTAAGTCCATTATCTCTAGAGGACGCACGTTTCTCAGCGAGAAGATTTGAGACGAGTCGGGGAAAGTTTTGCTGGGGTCTGGCACTAATAATGGCTTCTAGGGCTTAGAGTTTCGGTTTTAGACACGGCTTTTGGATAGCTCAAAATACATGATATTGATCGATTCAGGCCGTAAGAATTTGCTTAATTAGTCTAATGAAAAACGAGAAGCATAACAACGAGGTCATTCAATAAATCATACCCCTGCGTAAGGCATGCTCCGGAAGCGAAACCCAAACTTTTTTTCGATCTAGGAAAATGCTTTCGTGCGGACTATTCAAAATTATTGTCAGGAAGTGTCACGTCACATAACTATACTTAGTTTAAGAGATGACTAGCCGTGTGTTTTGTTCAGGCAAGTCAAGTTTTGAGTGTCGATGATAACAGCTTGAATAATTCCTCAGTGGATGACTGCCGTTTCTATGCCTGGCTCTAATTGGCTGAAAATAACAGCATGAAAGTTATGACATCAATAGATGATACTAACGTAGTGACCTTTGGTAGGAAACCTGAAGCTTTTTTTCCTCATTCACCTTCATTCATCGCTGTCGTCTTTCTCTTTCCTTTTTTCTTCTCTCAACTGAGGAGTCATTCCTCTTGCCTTTTCTTACTCAAGCAAGACCGTAGAAAATCTGCGGAGGATTTGATATTCTGGTGAGCTTAAGACTAAAATCTGATGCATGCATGCTGTTTTTAACTCCGATCAAAATGCTTTCTTACCTACATCAGAGGTATAGGATTACACGACCAACGATGACGAACTTCCGAATGTCTTTTCTGCTTTGAACGATCTTGAAGTGACTACCTCACGAGAAATTTTAAGGAGCTTTAGCATGACGTCAGTAGGCATAAAGGGAGTTGTATAAATGCGGCGCGGATTGTTCAGTCCTTTACATTACTAGGTACCGGTGATCCTCTAGCTCTGCATATTGAAGGATCTGCTCCTTGATCGGTTAACATACATCTGATCGAAATGAAACTGTGGCTAGCTAGTGTATGCGCTCTCCTCGTTTCGCTTTCAACTGGTGAGTGAACATGTCCCACAGGGGATGGTTCTGACATTTTTCGTAATGATTTAATCAATTAGCCTCGTGGGGATATAGAGTGCAATAAGAGAGCTTGGTATCTTGTCAGTGTTCTCCCAGTTTATGCTTGGTAGTTTTTGATCATTTTTCGCAAATGCTCTTTCCCCATTTATTGACCTCTGCAGACATAACGCGAGGCGGAACTCGCAACTTAAAGAGGAAAATGTGTCTATGTTCATGTAGTGTATAGAGCGCCGACGACAAAGTTTTGAAGTGAAATAATGAGTTTGAATGTGTGATTTTCAGATATATAACTGCGTCGTGTAGTGATTTATTTTTATCAGAAGTTAGTTCGCGTAAATGTTAAAATTTAAGTAAAGTGCGTTTTAGTCTAACAGAGGAGTATTACAGTTCCCTGAACAAACTATTAATAGTTACCACTAACTATTCCCTGAACAGTTCCATAATAGAATACTGGGTGGGGTGGAATCGTTGTACTATGATGTCAAAAATTAATAAGATCAAAAAATTGATTGAATAGCTTTGTCCAAACTCAATTTATTTGCATGTTGCTTGAATTTTCTTCTTGGGGAAGAGAAACGCAACAATTTAACATTCATGCAATATTTTCAGTTCTAGCTCTCAAATGCCAAGAATGTGCAGACATCTCAGGATACCCATCATCATTCAGTTCGTGCACCAGTCAGGATATCAAATCCATCGAATGCACTTCTCCAGGCTTTGATAGCTGTATGACTTTCAAAATGACCGTGCAAGTACCTGGGGAAGATCCACTCAACGCAGAGATGAGGAATTGCAGCTCCAGGAGCTTGTTTTGTGACAAGAACAGCAACCTCGATTGTAAGTGAAAATTTGCTGCGACAATCTTGAGATCGGTGCTCCTTTCTTCACTCCCCCCCTACCCCCTCCCCTCCCCCCTCATGATGCATGGAAGTGGTTTAATAAGCTTTCAGACACACCGCCAATCATTTTATAATTTTCAATGAAATTCGTTGTAGCTAGTGAAAAGGAAAATGTCAATGAGCCTAGCAAAAGCACATCTAGACGATAATGCTCGAGAAATATTACATCATAATTGGAGTCTACATGTCGCACAAAGAGGCAATTGTTTCCTGTCAACATCAAAACGGAAAATTAAACTTTTCCAATTTGTCTTCTTCTTAAAGCGTATCCGAAAAGTTCCGTTTTCCTTGGGTAATTTTAATCCCGAAGCTACTCCAGCTGTTCCTGGATATAGAGTTTCGTTCGCAAATCTATTCGGGAGTATAACGGTTAACTGCAAGTCCTCAAAGGGTCAAATGATTAAGCCCCAATCCTCTCTACTAAACTTACCTTAGCGTGATGTTTTCTTTGCAGTGTGCAAACTTACCAACGACAGTACTGGTGGCATATTGACTGCTTGTTCCACAGTCTGCTGTGAAGGTGACATGTGTAACATAGATCCTGCCCGCCCTTGGAGTCTTCGAGGATTACTTCGCGGATTAAACTAAATGAAATTGACAATTTGTGATTTTTAATAAATTTCCAAGTCATGATATTTTTGTAGAATAAATGTTCTCCACATCAATTTTTAGCAGTAAAGTACAAGATTAATTGTAAACGCCTCTGCCACGAAGAGGGAAATAATGATAGAAATAGTATTTTTAGAAAATAATTTTTATAAGGACTTTGGCAAAGCGAATAGAAATAAAAAGACACCTTATTGCATAGCCTAGTTTTTGTCTTTGCAGACGTTTCGGAAGAGAACCGCTTTTCTTTCAATAAATGCATTATGCTAATGTTGACAACGTTGTTCACGGATCAACAGTTTGTCGCAGTCTTTTGGGAGATCATTGCATTCTTCTATGTTGTTAAGTTTTGGCCTCCTTTTTTAGCTCATTCATGCTGAAAGCAATGAATGAGGTATCGTGGTGTAGCAGTTGTTGATGGAAGTTGTCGACTGTGGACGGAAGTTGCGTCTTGGACTGTAAACGGAAGCAGTCTTGCATGCTACCCCTCCCCACTTGGTGAAAGTTAAAATTAATTTCAATGAAGCTCAGAAGCTCATGTGGAAGGAAATAAAATGTTTTTATGGTTTGAAAACAATAATAATCTCAAATCACATTTCTGAACTTCTAAAAATGCAACTTGAATCGAAAAGCCGCAATCCAAAGTGCTTCAATATACAAAATACTAATGGTCAAAATTTCTTAACTTGATTTTCTTAGTATCAAGTCTGGAATGTAATGCTTGTACAAGTTCAACCTCGTGGGACGATTGTAAAGTTTCACAGGAAAAGTGTCTTCCCCAACAAAACCAATGCATCAAGGTCTACTTTAAGTATGGCGGAAGTGAAATATTCTCCAAGGGCTGTGCTCGTGAGCTCTCTTGTGGAAGCTCAGAAAATTCTACCTGTGGAGAAACCGCTGTCTCTGATTTCACTTGTGATATCACCTGTTGCAATGACAAAGACAACTGTAACGCAGGCTCAGCCCTATCTTTCAGCAGTTTCTTATTCTTGGAATGCGCATCGGCGTCATTGATGTTTTTCGTGGAATTTTGACATTACAGCTCAGTTGCATGTTCACGTTTTGGGAATATTTGTTTTCAAATGATGGAGTTGAGTAAATTTAAAAAAGAAAAAGAAAAAAATGATTTGTGTTGTATAACCATATCAAACTCTTTCCCCAGTGCGACGAACATTTGTTTTTCTCGGTTCCAGGTGTACGCAACCACTAACCCCACGTAATGCGCATGCTCTCCGTTACGAATTTTCAAAATGGCGGACAAGCCAAAGAAAGAAAAAAACAAAGCGATTTTGCAATGAATACTCAACATAAACCCTCGTTAGAAAGGCGAATCCACGGAGGAAAGATACAAAACTGTATGATACTGAGATCGATATGATATTAAATCGATACCGAAAGCCCGTTTCCAACTTGCTAAGAAGCGCATTTAATTGCCTTCCGCCACGATCACTAGCTTTCTTGACAGCCTTCTGAAGACAGAATACTTTCTTTCTGAAGACTTCTAATGTGCGGCTATTGATTATTACACCTCGTATACCTGATTGCTCAAACACTTTGTTTACGATTGTTGAAAGGACCGACTCATGGTTCTCCGTCTTCGTCTTTACATTGCTTTGAAACAGTATAGATTAGTAAGCTGAAACGAAAAACTAATCAGGGATGTTTACGAAAAATCCAGCAAACAAGCTTAAAAAGGCATTTATTTAGACTTCGTACTTCAACGAACTTCACAAATCGTACTTGTTTATCTTGGAAGTAAACGATGGCAGACTAATTCCCGAAGCGCTTTCTGAGTTTCCCGATCCCTCTCCTACTGCTTTCACGCTTACAAAACAGGAAAAAATCAAAAGGAGGAAGATACAGCTGTTTTGAAACGCCATTTGACGAGGGTAAATCTGCTTTTTGTTCGACACTTAACATATCAAAACAAAGGAAATTTGTTCCTCTTTTTGATTCTGGCGGTACATTTTTAATTTGCGCCTGCGTAAAAGAGATATCGCCCGAGACCCTTCGCTCGGTCGTGTTTTGATCAAAAACGCCTTTTTAATTTCACGCAACCGCTCGGAGAAAAGGTAAAAATGACGAGGGAAAAACTTTACCTTCAAGTTAGAAAATTAGCGAAATAGAAAGCCACAATATTATAGTTTAATATTTCAGAGGTACATTGAGTGCTTTTTCCGTAGAGAATCCGCACAATGGTAAAACATTCGAAAATTACACTCGATTTCAGTGGGGTGTTGAAGTGGGCGTGGTCACTACTTTCCTTGTAAGACTATTTGTACCCCATGAGTTTGATATGATTACTTACGATTGATAACGTATGATTTTTAGAGGCTCAGAAAACCTCAGGCTTGTTTGTTATCATGTATGGACATCTCAGAAAAATATCAATTTATGCTACCAGCACTCCATCTGAGCGGACGCTGAGCTGAGCGGACGCATATTTCTCGCTCTGTGTTATTTCATTCTATTAAGTTTCCCTAATTATGACTGGTAAAGAAAACCAACTAAAAAAAGAAAATCAGCAGTTAAGGAATGAAATTGAAGATCTCAAGAAGCAACTGGATAAATTGACTGAGGAAATTGGACATCGACGTGAAGAAATCAATCATGATGCTGGCATCGAACATGGCGGCGACACTGTGGGCAAAAAACGATCAGTGGAGTTTGTTTCAGCTCAATGCGATGATTTTGAAGCGTTTAAAAAGTACGCATCGAAAGAACTGAAGCGTTTAAGCTCAAGGCTAAATGTAATTTCAGATGCTTGCGATAGAATCTCGCAGTCAATTGATGGCTTCGAAATGTACAGCTACCAATTTAACATCAAAGTTATCGGTCTACCGTTGCTGGCAGCGAAAGAGACGACCGAGCAGACAGCTAACCTGTGTCTTCAACTATTTCATCAGATGGGAGTGAAAGATGTTTCGATAAATGACATTGACATTGCCCACCGAGTTCCATCAAGGAATCCCTCGAATCGACCAGACGCAGTAGTTTGTAAATTTGTTAGAAGGATGGTAAAGGAAAAAATCATGGCGTCTAGGAAGACAATAAGGAACAACAGCACAGCAACTAGGATTTTCTTCAGAGATTGATGTGAGTCACCTCAATATTTACGATCATCTGACACCTCGTCTACAAACCCTTCTGTATGAGGCAAAGAAGTTCAAAGCTGGCTTCCACTGGGAAAACACTTTATTTAATGGGTGACTTTAACCTATGTCTTTTAAAGACGGAATCATCTTCATATAGTCAGGATTTCCTACTGGCCCTACAGAGTTTTTATCTTCTTCCAACTATTGACAAACCAACACGCGTACGTAATAACTCAGCCTCTCTTATTGATAATATTTTCGTTAATAATCCTGATCAAGTTCTAATTAGTGGAAACATTATTACCGATGTCTCTGATCATTTTTCTCAATTTTGTATTTTGAAATCTAAGCGAGACAAACCTGTCAAGAAAACAATTAAAAAACGCGACTTCTCTCAATTCTCCTCTGAGGAATTTAATAATGATTTGTCCGCAATCGACTGGGATGCTATTATTGCCTCAAAAACAAATAATATTGATGAACTATTCTCATCTTTCTACAGAAAATTAAATTCAGTCGTGAATAACCATGCGCCTGTTAAAATTTTATCCAAACGTAAAATTAAACAACTTGCAAAACCGTGGATAACAAAAGGAATAAGGACATCAATAAAAATAAAGAACAAGCTATATGTAAATGGAATACACAGCAAATATAAATATTATAGAAATAAAGTTACAAACCTTATTCGTTTGAGTAAAAAACGTTATTACTATGATTTCTTTGAGAAAAATACAAATAATATGAAAAAGACGTGGAAAGTAATAAATGAATTAATAAATAACCAAAGGACAAAAAGCAGAGTGTTAACGAAGCTGAAAGACCCAAGCAATAACAATCAAATAACACAAAATCCTTCCAGATTACCAAATATTCTAAATAAGCATTTTGCAAGTGTTGGTAATTTACTAGCAAGTAAATTGCCAAAGAAAGATAACTATATGAGTTATCTTGGTAAATTGAAATCACCTGATTCTTCCTTCTTTTTCAAACCCATTACACCAGAAGAAGTTAAACAGGAAATATTATCCCTACCAAATAGTAAATCCTGTGGCTTATACTCCTGCCCTACACAACTGCTTAAATCTTCTTGCAATATCATATCTCCAGCTCTTTCTCATATTTTCAATTTATCTGTTATCCATGGTGTCTATCCTTCAAAACTTAAGATTTCTAAAATAACGCCAATATATAAAAGTGACGACGAGACCGACCCTTCAAACTATCGACCAATATCTCTTTTGTCTAATTTTAATAGGATTTTTGAAAAACTTTTGTACTACCGGATGAAGGAATTTATTGACAAAAACAACCTATTGTACTCCTCACAGTATGGCTTTCGCAAGTCACATTCCACAGAGCATGCAGTACTTGATATTGTCGAAGATATACTACGTAATATGGATAAACGGTACTTCTCATGCGGTGTCTTCATTGACCTGAAAAAGGCATTTGATACGGTCAATCATGAAATATTACTCGATAAATTGAACTTTTACGGTTTCCGTGGATTGATAAATGACTGGTTTCAATCATATTTAAAAAATAGAACACAAACAATTCAGATTGGAGAGCACTTATCAACAAAACTTATCTCTCCCTGTGGTGTCCCCCAGGGATCAGTCCTTGGACCTCTTCTATTTTTACTTTACATAAATGACATTCACCTTTGTTCTGATAAACTAAAATTTTATCTCTTTGCGGATGATACTAATATACTTTATGCTGATAAGAATCTTAAGGCGATCGAGCAAACGGTTAATGTAGAGTTGAATAACGTACATGACTGGTTAACTACAAATAGGTTGACATTGAATACAAAAAAATCAAATTTCTTAATTTTTCGTCCTCGTCAGAAAAAAATGCATTTTTCTCCACAAATAGGTATTTTAGATTGTGAGACAAACCGAAGAGTTAGTTTAGAGCAAAAAAGTTATATCAAATATCTAGGCGTTTTAATTGATCAAAATTTGTCATGGAAAAACCATGTTGACTCTGTTATCGTAAAAATAAGTAAAACAATAGGGATGATTGCAAAGCTGAGGTACTTCGTTCCCTCTACTGTCCTTGTAAATATTTACAATTCATTAATTCTACCTTATAT